CAAAATCCTGTGGATATGTCAGTCCTTGTTTTTCATTTTTAGCTGATACAAAAAAACATCAAAGTTGTACATGTTATGGGATACATGTAATGTTCAATATTATTCAATACTACACTATACAATATGCATTGTATAATGTTTAAATCAAGTTAAGTATATTTATTTCTCAGATGTTTATCATTTCTTTGTGGTAAAAACTTTCAAAATGCTTTCGTCTACCTTTTTGGAATATATAGTACATAAATTATCTGTAGTCACTATATTGTGAAACAGTGTCTAGGTTTCCCCATATTTAGAACACACAATCTTGAGGTTTGACAATGTTGCTTTAAACTCTACATCCTGTGCTCACCAGAAAAGGCACAAGCCTTTGATCATACATTTAGAAAAAAAGAAAGCACTCAAAGTTACCCCAGATGCCAAACTAATTTATATGAACAAAAATCATAATTTTCAAAACTTGAAACTCTCAGAGGCTAACCATTCATCATTTAAAAAAGGAGCAAAAACAAAATAAAGTACTCAAAGAACAAAGAAATGCAATATTTTAATTTCCAAGATCTACTAAAAATTTTCTATTTTCTAGTGGTGATCAGTATAAATTCTTACATTTAAATTGCCCAGTTTTGGGCTGGGGATGTGGCTCAAGCGGTAGCGCGCTCGCCTGGCATGCGTGTGGCCCAGGTTCGATCCTCAGCACCACATACAAAGAAAGATGTTGTGTCCGCTAAAAACTAAAAAATAAATATTAAAATTTGCTCTCTCTCTCTCTCTCCTCTCTCACTCTCTCTTTAAAAAAATGAAAATAAAAATAAAAATTGCCCAGTTTTCAGCACCTTCATTTCATTACCTTCCCTAAAAATCCCCAAAGAAGGGTTGGTGATATGGCTCAAGGTACAACACTTGCCTTGCCTAGTGTATGAAAGGCTCTGGGATCCAGTCTTGGGGTTCTCCCCAATGCACGCAAGTAAGCATACACACACACACACACACACACACACACACACACACACACACACATAGCCCAAAGAGCTGTTCATTCATGGCTCATATTCAGCCAACAAATCTGGGTAACTTAAAATGGCTATGCTTTGAATTAAATCTGCAAGTACAAATAAAGTCCAACACATCATGCTATCACTGTACTTGTTTCAATTCTTGGTGCTATAACTCTCCATGGGTCCCTACATGCCTCCTCCTTTAAAGCCTAAGAAAGAAGGTATTAGGCTTACACCTGACAGATTCTGTTGCCTCCTTTACATGGGTCAGCAGAGCCGCTGCTTTTCAATCAGCTGGTCCTTATTTGCATCCTCCAGAGGTATGTTAATTTGGAATTGAGCATCAGGCCCACTCTAACTATAAAGGGACCACCCTACAGTATATTAAAAGGTTCACATCAATGTATGCAATTTAAATGCACATGCACATAATTAACTAGACACAGTACCAGTGTGAGCTGCTAATTTGGAATGAGACACAAAAGACCAGAATGCATGTTGAAGGAAAAAAAAAACTTTAAAATTAAAATGACTTCATAATGAAAACTGCTTCATGCTGTGTCTACTATTTTCATGTAAACTTAATATAACTGTAAATATATTTTAATGAACAGTAGAAAGAGGCAATTACAAAGAGCAAAGGAGGGCAGCACAACAGTGAAACATCATCAGAATAGCTCTTTGCCTTCATATTAAAAGTGCTGCCTGAAGACACAGGATGAATTATAACTTCATAATTTCAGGCAAAAATGTTTTCTATATTAAAGACATACCTATTTTCCAATCTGCTGGCAATGAAAAGAGAACACTCAAGTGAAAAAGCAGTGGGGAGTGGGGAGGGGATATCCTAAGAAATACAGAAGAGAGAAAATCCAAGTTTGACATTTTCATTTTGGTGTTAAAATATCTTATTAGTGTGTTCTTCTTTTGTTAAAATAGCTTTGTATTCCCCAAAGATATCTCTGAAGTGGGAAAGAATTCTTGACATATTTAAACATCAAAAGTCATTCTAAGTACCATAGCCCAAATATATGTGAAGGTTTGGGAGTCTTCATTTAAATGCTGTCTATATCTTGAAACAACTGAAGAAAAGATTTGCCACTGTAAAATGAGTATGATAAATTTCATGACTCAAGAATTTAAGGGAAAGAATACAAGACACTTGACACTGATAGATTTTTGTTAATTAGTATTAGAATTCAGGTAAGAGAAAAGGAGGCCAAACTTTAGGAAAATACCTGAATGTTACAGGGCTGAGCTTGTGAGGCATTGAGGGTGGAGGTGAAGATGTTCTGGTGAAGCAACCTAAAAGTTCAGCTCATTAAATATACTGTGAGCTCTTAAAGAATAAGTGGGGGATGGATTTTACCAAATATTGAGGGATAACTGAGGGATAAACATGGTATACCATCTTTATTTTTTTTTTTTTTGAGAGAG